GATTCACCAACTATACTGCTAATACAGGGAAACATTGCAATGTTCATATTCGGAAGCTCATGGTACAAGGAAGCAAGCACGAGCCAGCACGAATGTCAGTTGTGTGCGGGCGTGTGTGTGTGTGTGTGTAGATCACAGACACATATGTAGATGTGCATGTTTATGTATATGTGTATGTACATGTTTCTATATAGCAGACATAGACAGACATGTACACAAAGACGCATGCGTTATATATGTGTGCATAGTCTTGTCATTCGTGTTTGGTTTGTCTTTCCTCGTAAGCAACCAATATGTGTATATGTATATATATATATACATACATACACAGATCTGTACATGTATTTGTCTATATCTATATATATATATATATACAGAGGAGAAGACGAAGCAATCTGAATCTTGCAGATCCCTTTCCAAGGCTCTACGAGGCCGAGCCAGAGCAATGGAAGGAGAATCTGAATCGAGCCGCGTCCCTGGGATGCCGGGTGGGGCCGGGTGCATCCCTGGGATCCCTATAATGCCGAGTATAGGCTTAATGTAGGGGCCTAAATAATTACCTATGCTATTTTGGAGGGGTTCCTTACCATAATGTCATAATTATAGTATACTGGGCCCAAAACCCTAATCTAATTATTAACGCCCCCGCATTAGTCTGTTTGGGCTGCTTGGGCTTAGTGCTTGTGGGGTTCAGCAGTTGCAGCTTCATCGCCATGAGAGTGCATGGAGTTGCTAGGCTGCTAGACCCAATTTGGGCGTGCCTCACGCGGAATGTACGCCACATCACAGGCTTGAGTTCCGAAATCTGTGGGTGTAGCCTCAACATCGGTCAAGACGATACCTGGGTTTGATATTTCCTCCAGGGTGGCTTTGGGGCCGACAAGCAGTGGGTTGCAGGGCGAAGCATGTGATTGTTGAAAGAACTCTCATTTCGTCCTTCTAAGCTGGATGCACGTGATCCTTCTGCAAGATGGGCTGGTCTGAAGATGTACTGCACTTCTGGCCGAGGCCACAATGCCCCTGGGTGGTGGCGGTGGTCGAAACAAGCCAGCCACCAAGTCGAGTCTCAGAGAGCCGAGCACAGAATTTCGCATGATCTGGGCTTCCGAAACCCTCTCCTGGTGGCTGCCTTCGGGTAGCATGTCCAGAAGGGCTTAGCAGATTCCCGAAACGGGGGGGGGATGGCAGCATCGAGTTTAGGGTTTGTTGCTGCTGGGCTTCGCTGCGTAGGCATTCGAGATTCCCGAATTAGCGAGAGTCCTCACATGTGTGTTCCGAACTGGGCTTCTGTTTCCACAAGCCCCTGACAGCGACATCCTTTCCAGGACCTGGCGTGTGACGGTGACGACCCCAGCTGTTCCGAGAAGTCTCGGGTCTTCAGCTTGGTCCCTTCGCATCGAGCTTAAAATAGGGGCCTCAATAATGACCTATATTATTGTGGAGGTTCCTTATTATAATTATTGTATAATGGGCACCAAAACCCCAATCTAATTATTAAGGCCCCCTATATTACCCGGACCCGAGTTTGAGTCATGGGTGCTTGCGACTTGCAGCAGAGACTGGCCTCAGGCTGGAGCCGAGACGCCAGAACTTGAAGCTTAGGGTTTAGGGTTTAGGGTTCACCATGTGAAGGCCGTGCTGTTGAGGTGTGTTCGCTGGCACACAATCCAAGCCCATGCTGAAAAGGGTTCACCATGTCAGGCCCAATCTCTCTGAAGCACAAAATAGGCAATGAAGCCTGAGGTTCGTCACTTTAGTCGCTTAGTCAGCCAAGTGCACGATTTCACTGTCGATGTACTCCCCCCTCCTAGAGCTTGTTCAACAAACGCAAACCATGGTTGCAAGACATGTATCCGCGGCAGTAGAAGCAGTTTTGGACGATAATATCCTGTCATGAGACCGGCAAGCCTTTTCTGATGTGGAGTCGTGCTGCGTGCTTACACTGTCTCTTTTCAGCATTAGTCAAGCGACTGTAGGCTCAGCTCTGGTTGACCGCCATGGTTACCCAAGGGTTACCCAAGCGAAGTGATGCCATATCCACCCGCAATGCAGGCAGCAAGATGCACACCACCGCTGTGCTGAGGTCACAGACAGACGCGGTGGCCGAGGAACCGACTACCGCGTGGACGACTCGGACGTGGACGGTGCTGGAGGTCCTCCTCGACTCGGCTGAAAGGAAAACAGTTGAGGGACCGAGAGACTGTGCGGGTGTCTCTGTATGTGTGTGTGTGTGTGTGCCTGTGTGCGCCTGGTGAAAGAACAGAGCGCGACAGACTTGTGGGGTCGCTACAACGGCACATGATGTTTGAGGAATTGGTAGGTTTTTCAAAGACCGTTTTTGCCGTGACAACTATGCGACTATGCCCGTGCGATTTGTTGTGGTATTGAGCTGTCAACATAGCCTGGCACGACCTGTAAGACATTCACTAATATCCGTCCCCAAGCCTACTCGGAGCCACAATATGTTTTTTGAGCTTGTTGCTTCAGAACTGATCTTTGCACGATTACGATTCGCTTACAAGTTACGGTGTACATTGGCAGCGCGTACCGCCCGAAGCATGCATGGCAGTTCACAGTAGCAACGTAATGAATCTCATGAAGAGACTTTCGTTTTTTGCAGAGTTCGATCCCTTAGAAGTGTGCAAGGCCAAAGTCCTCTTTCAGTGCTTGAGCCTTGAAGGTTTGCTGCTGATTCCTTCCATTGCCCCGACCTTAGGAAGCACTGGCTTAAGCCTTGCGTAGTTGCTCTTATTTTGGTTGTCCCTGCCGTTGTTTCTCTATTGGCTACAGCCAGCGCAGGACAGCACAACTCACGTAGCCAGTCAGACATTTGGCTCGGTAAGCAAACATGCGGTGAGGCGAGACACCAGACCCACATCTGGGGCGTCAGAAATGAGGAGAGCTGAGCGAATGATGGACGGAAGCAAAAACAGAACCTGTTGCATATGCACAAAGGTAGTGGCAAGGATCCAAAGAGGTGTACGGATAGCTGTAACCACTCAAGGTCGAGCATCAGCTACATGCTGATCTTCCCCGCAGCAACCCGAAGATGGGTTTCAAATCCCTGTCACCAAATCTGAGGTCCCGACATCTCAGCGCGAGTGGATTCAGTTCTTGGGCAGAACAGCACGGAGCTCGGAGCGCGAGAAGAATTGCAGGTGCACAAGCAAAACTCTCGCTTGCTTCAGTCGTTGCCGAGTTCGGCCCGCTTACAGCACGCAACCGGGCCGTATGCAGAGGTTGTCCAGGCTTGACGAAATTGGTGCTTTGGGAAGTCGAGGCATTTCTTTTGCAAGGATCTGGTTCGCATCTGTGTAGCAACGACAGGTCTTTCAGCAACAATTCTTTAGATGTTCCCTGTTTTTACGCTTGGAGATGCTTGCTCATTCTTGCAGTTAAAACCCGTCAGAAGGATTCCACGATCCCTTTATTTGACGCTCTGGCATTGCATGGTTTGCGCCGGTGTTTGCGATGTGGGCTGAACGGTTGCGTGCGGACTGCTTCGTTCACGCTTGGCTCAAGTGTGTGTTTTTTACAGTGAGGCCATCAGGAGTGCCAGAATCCTTCCGGAGCTGCATGCAAGAAACGCTTCAATCAAGGCTACCCCCAAAGCCTCACGATGAGACTCCCTACCTAGCTGCAGTTCGTCGATGTGTCGAGTCTTCGGTGGTGTCGGCCAGCGCATTGCACGGTCGTGTCAGAGTACATTGTCCATTCGCAGGGAAAGCAGAAGCGGCCCAAACCCCCCCCCCCCTCACTCCGCCCGACCAGTCCCTGGATCTGAGACGATTTCCGGCAGCATCGAGCCATGAAGCCGCTTACGAGCTGTCGCTTGATATAGGACTCGCCACCGACAGGCTCCAAAGTAAAGGCACAAATTCGCATCATAACAGCTATGCACAGATCAAAAGCTATCCCCGCGCGATCTTCTAAGCCTTCTAAGTGTAGGATGTAGAAGCCTCCCATGCACTGCCCATGATGGAGCCGCCCCAGAAGCGCCCCCGATTGTCCACCACCTCGTCGACACCGGAGAGCCCTCAGAGGCAGCCGAGTAACAAGCGGCAAGAGTTCACGTGTATATTTGCTGCGGTACATCATGCTTCCGTCTTGCAAGCTTTGCAAAGTATCTGGAGGCACATGGCGGAGAGATCGGACGGAGAGGGAGCGAGCGAGAGGCAGAGAGACTTGGTGCGCACCAAACAAAAACTCCCAACGCAACAGCGATTCGATCTCGTGCTTCAACCATTTCTCTCCGAACTCACTCCCCCGGGTCATGCGCCGAATTTGAGCCGCCCTGTTAAAAGTTACTTACTCGTAGCATAGTCTCCGATCCCCGATGGTGAAAAAAGGAGGGACAAGGTTCGAAACGATGGCCTGTCCCCCATACCCTTTGAGCAGAAGGACAAGTTGAGGAAGATGCTGAGTTTTCCAAAATCCGGCGTTGGACTTGGGCTAGGCCGCTGCGCCCTAGCCTCTCCAGCTGCTCCTCTCAGCTCTCGAGCCAGGCAGGTCCTCCTGCGAGACAGTCTCAGTTGTTGTTTTTGTTTGTTGCTGGGCGTCTTGAACTGCGAGCAATTGCGATGAGAGACAACATTCTTCATGCTGCCCAAGCCCCTTATGCAAAGGAAAAGGCATGCAGCCGTGCTCTCTGGCAGGAACAAGACCGAAAAAGAGCTTTCTTCGAGGAGCCCCTAACTCTGGTGCAGGCTAGAGGATTCAGTTTCGGAATCATATCCGTGGTCGGATGCCTTTGCAGGCAGCACCACTTCCGAACTTCTGCTGTGCTGCGATGTGTCGGCAGTAGAACAAGCATGCGATGCAAACATAATGCGGTAGTTGTTTGCTGACTCGACATCATGAAACGTAATTAATGTAAGGCTCAGTTGGGCAAGAAGCAGTCTCAGATTCCGAGGCAGCGAAATCAGCAGATCATCTTGCAAGCACATGCAATAGATCACTACCTGCATGCCCTTCTTCAGGACTTTCAACTGCAACGCCTCATGAAGGTCAGCCAGTCAAGGGAAGATACTGACAAGAGGCTCAAGTTTACCAAGGACGGGGAGACTCGCGATGTGCCTCGACGCAGCAAATATCAGTAATCAGCAAAATGTCGGATCACGGCGCACCTTGTTTAAGCGCACACCTGAGGTTTCTGTGAGCTTCGACCAGGATCAAGGAGGATTTGTCTGTAAGTGTGCTGACGGAACCACTTGGCCCATCAAGGAGGCGCTGACTTACTTACATTTTGGAGATGTGGAGCCCATACAGACCGTAACTGACGACGCGATATCCAGGATGTCGTACCATGCGATAATGGAGATAGACGATGATAACCATCGCAGGTTTTCGGCCGATCGCATTGAGAAGGGACCGCCTTGCCGATTCTATCGTAAATTCGGCGAAGATCGGTTCTTGAGGGTGACCATTTGTACGAATTCACGTGGAGACGGTGCTCCTGAAGCCAAGCGCTTGAGCAAACAGATGCTGAAACGACACCTACAGCCATTCTCATGGTGTGGTCGCTGGTGGTCTTATTTCACAAGCAAGGTGCGTAAGCAGGACAAGCGATATCGGAAGGACCCTGGTGCTAAGCGAGAAATGCAGCACATTTTCTTCGCGACTCGCAGCTGGGAACCTGACGAGGAGAAGGAACAAACGGCAAAGGAGCACGTGCGTGCTTTCTGGAATGATCGCACCCCCTCCATGAACCTAGGGAAATGCACATGGTCGGTGCAGACGGTATACAGAACTCACATCCCGGAGATGGTCAAAAGCAGCTGCTGTCCAACTTGTAAACAGCACTTCCTCTGCCGCAAGCCAAACAGAACTTGGTGGAACGAGACGGATCTGCAGAAGAAGGGCAAGTATATGAAGCGCCTAGATCTGGGTTTTACCGCAGCGACCCCGACTATCCAATTTGACAGCTGCCACATCTATGAGGAGGACTTCTTCCTGCAGCTCTATTGGCTCTGTAGCCTGTCACGTATACATATATATATATATACATACATGTATATATATACATACATACATATGTATGTTTATCGGAGTTTAGGAGGCTGTTGTAGTTGGCAAATGTGGACGAGAGGACGACCTTCGGAGCTCCTCTGGCGCGGTGCTCACGGATGGCTGCGGACGACTGGGCCTAGACGCAGCAGAGGCGATCAGCCAGAAGCTTGGCTTGGACTTCATCCCGGCCGTGTTCCAGGGCCGCATCGGAAGCTGCAAAGGCCACCGGCGACATTTGACCATTTGTAGTCCAGTCCTGGGCTTCCACAAACCTACATGCCAGGCCTGTGGATCGTGGACACAGCTCTGGCCGACTCGCACGGGATCGAGATGAGAGACGCCGGACTTCAAAGCCAAGTTGCAAGCTAAGTAAAACGGGTTTGGGGTTCAGGCTTTGTGTGCGCGGCTTATCTCCAGATCCTGGGAAGACCTTTGTCCGAGCTTTGCAGGGTTGGGGCAGGAGAGCTGATAAAGGTCAGGAGGGTTGCCGAGGGCCGCTCTGGTTCAGGGAGTTGCAAGATTTAGGAATTGAGTTTCAGCCCTTGGGCGAGCCAAGTATAGAAACGAGATTTCGGGTTTGGGGTGCTCTACGTACTGTAGTGCTTGGTTGGTGCAAGATTGATTTCGTCGTCCTTCGCATGCGCCCGCTCCGGTGCAAGGACAGCATGACGAAGTGGCTCATGGACTGGGCGGACAAAAACTTAGACAAGGAGCATGCTTGGTTTTGTGGGACTACAGGTGAAGTTGTATCTTTGCATCCCCACATCCAGATTTTCGCCACCATGCAAGGGGCCAAGTAGTCACGAGTTAATCGCTGTGCATCGCCAGTGGTCGGTTATCTGCTGATAAGGGCTCTGAGCTGTGGTGATTTTTCATTTCACCAGGCTAGAACCGAAGACAGCCTGTCCGACCTGTCTTGTCGCGCATGTAAACCGCAAATGCTTTCGAACACCCACCCACACGCATACACAGAGAGCCTGGGCCTTTGACCCCGAGCCCTGAAACCTACGTCGAATGTTGCCTTGAACCTCTCGAATCTTCAGGTGATTCGGTCTGAAGTCTCGCGTTGTCAGTTCAGGGGATGCAGTTGGAGTTCTACAACAATCGGTTTAGCGGGGTTTTTCGACACTGATACATCCCGGGGGCTGCTTGACGGGTTCTGGCACACCGAAGCTGCCGGCCGTGCAGGAGGATCGTACCTTCGAGGCTCCCTGCAAAGTCGTGGTGCCTGCAGGGCTTCGGAAGGAGATCGTGCAAAGAGTCTTGCGGGATTACGTAGAGATTGTTTTCACGGGGGTGGGTGGTTATGGTTCGAGAGATGCATCAATCAGATACTCAATTTCAGTGGTACATACCAGCACGAGCGGCCACATCACAAACGGTTGAGGCACTCTAAGCCCCATGAGCCTTTGTACAGTGTTGCCCACGGGCATCAGGGTTTACAATGCAGTTTGCACTAGCCCCACGAATGATGCCAAGCTGCATGTGCCGATGGGTTCGGGCGGATTGCTCAAGCCCCTGTAAAGATGTGGTCTCCGGCTTCAATTCTACACCTCCTGAACCATATTCGTCAGTCGACCAGATTTGGGGCTTGTTGCACTCGTCTGATGCAGGTCCGTGCCTACTCGAAATTCTGCGCCGACTCAGCACCTTGGCTTTGCAGCCAGACCGCGTCAGAGATACAGGTTTCAAGCGCTACTGGGCTCAACAAGGGAGATGACTGTCGAGGTGTGAGATTCTTCGACTCAGTGCAGTGCAGTTGGCCGTGAGACTCCAGGCGTTGCTAAACGGACAGCTGATTGCCGTTCTGGAAAGCGGCGGCGTGCCGGCTGAAGTCTTCGAGCCTGGGACGCGGAAATGGTAGGGCGAAGGGCTCAACAGTTGTAGAACATGGGCTCTGGCAGCAAAGGTAAGGGGTCATGCCATCCATGCTCTCGTGTTTCTTCTCAGCCAGACGAAGCAGAAACGGCTGGTTATCGACAGGGTCGTATTTGGATTGCTGTTCCCGTGTGTTCATAGTAGAGAGCCGTCTGCACCGAAGTTGGTGAAAGATTCGAGGGGGTGCGAGCCAGAAGTCTTGGAGATTTGCTCGGACTTGGAGTTTCTGGTGTCCGTGGCTCCTCCGTTCTTGACCCTTGTTCTTGCAGGGCTGGGGAAGAGAATCTATCTTCAGGAGCCTGTGGTTTGCAGGCATAAGCCAGACACCAGGTTGATGAGGAAAGCACAAGCTTCCGATGTTCAGCACAAGGGAGTGATTTTCAAAGCTGTGCTGCTTTGGCAGTTCAGCCTACTTGGCTCTTGTTTTGGCATCTGTTGCGATCTCACTGCATCCGCTACACCCTGCCGAAGTTCGCCATCACACTCATCCACCAACATCATCTATCATCATCTTCTCCCACCTCCTGAATGCTTGAAGTCGCTTCTGGACGAAATGCATATACCTCCTTGTGATGTTGCATTTTGCGGTGCTCTGCAGTCCGACAAGTCTGCAGCGCTTTGTCCCGGCAGTCCCGGGTTCTTGCCGCCCCTGCCGCCTGCAGTCCTGAGAGACCTGCAAGAAGGGAATGTTTGGAGAAGGAGCTTGGCCTATTCTTTCACAGTCGACCACTCGCTCCCTCTTGATCGGATTGGAAGGTTTGGGTTTGCTACCTCAAGCAGGACAGTGGCGACAGTGGCGATTGGGTTTGCTAAATCCGACAGCGATGGAGTAGAAGGCTGTTGCTATCTGATCGATTATGAGGTTATGTACTGATTTATCTTCCTGTTGGTGTTCACCAGGAGCAGGCGAGAATGAATGTGAGCAAACGAAACTCCCGTAGGTCATAAGCGTGGTGTGACATGCGATGGCGCTTGGTGTTTAGAGGCTGTTTTTTCTCGACATGCTGATCCTCCCTGTCGTGTTGCAAGCTGTTCTGTCATTTTCAGTTTCCCGTCGGACCAGGTAATGTCTGGACCGACCTGTGTTTGCTTTGAGTTTCAGGTTTGGGGCTCCTGGATGACATGAGTTTAGGTTGTATGCTTACATGTAGTCTAAGTGCGCCCAGAAGGCGAAACAGAAGGTTCGTCGTTCGCAAACTGGTCTCAGTGGCTTTACGGCCACCCTGAGCTCCCCGAGAAAGAGACAATGCGCACAGCATACAAGGTGCAGTTGCAAAAGGATCACCTGGATGCTTTTGCGGCGAAGAGGTTTGGCGGTGACACTTCCAGTGCTGCTACGTTTGCAAATTAAGGCTGTTGCTGGCTCATAAAAATTAAGTGCGACCTTCTTTGAGTGCACTTAGAGTATGGTCAAGCTAGTCGTTATCGTGCTTTTCCATTGTTACAGTAATTCTCAGTGGTGTGAAATGAGAGAGCGTGGTAACAATTTATTTCCGTGCTGGAATGTTAGAAGTGCTTTTAAGTTTTTGTTCCTTCGTGGCCGTAGCCCAGATGCCAGAACAACAGCCTCTTCAACGGCACTTCAGGTAGCCCGGACGATTACCAATCCCCAAGATGGCAAGTCTGGTTTGGTCGTGGACATGTGCAACGCCAACTACAACCCAAGGCCAAATTTGAGAGCTTCCGGTGCATTCAGTTCATGTCCATGTGTGTAGTTGGCACTGCAAGTGGGTTCGGCGGATTTCGGCGGCTTTGGGCTTTGTGACACAGCTCCACAGGCAAATGACTTTGTTGCCTCTGGCGCACCGTACCTCCGACTTTCGCATCTGTCTCCTTCCGTGGTTTGTTGATGCGTGGTTCCGGCACAGGCTGGACCCCTACGGCATGAGCCTCGAACTGCAATCGCTGTGATTGGCATGAATGTGATGATGCGTTCGGCATCAGCTGTTGTGCGTGCCTATGGATTGACAGCCACCTCGACAAAAGACTTGCGCATGTAGGTGAATGGATAATCTGTGTATTGTCTTCTATTGCTCAATACGAGTTGAGGACCATCCAGCAAAATAACAGCAGCAGAACCGCCAGTTTCCTTCATGTCGTTCACAAGACTACAGTGGGCAACTGTCGACATCTATCCCACTGTTGTAAGACCAAGTCGTTTGAATGCGCAGTGGAGCGAGAGGAAGGTTGGTCCTAAGGGAGAGCAGTGCAGATGGCAACGATCATGTTTCTGATGCCCGGAATTTGTGTGGACGGGGGAAGGCAGAGTAGCGGTTCAGGAACTCTTGAGCCATAGGCCGACTACCAGATTCCGCATTTCCCGTTCTCAGACATTGCAAACACGTTGCCCGTACAGGAGGCAGTCAAGGCATGTTCAAGCCAGGAAGTGGCTGGTGGAATACAACTATGGCGCCGTGAAGGAGTTGGCCGAGCGTCCCAACTACGAGTGCAAGCAGGAAGGGTTTGCAGGTATGTACACAGTGGTACAGTAGTACTGGTACAGACTGAACTTGAAGCGTAGAATGTGTTTCCTTGCTCAAGCATTCGAGCTACAAGCCAGTAACGCCATGACAGATCGGAGCAGGCCTGGCGGGCCTTTATCGCACCCGACTTCTCACAAGAGCTACGCCCGTTGGAAGGACCCTTGGCTATGCATGGGCAATTAGTTATGACCATTTCTGACTTGTAGAACAAGCACCGACAGGCCACGTTGCTCCGGCCATTTGACTTCTGGCTTCGGCAGCACAGGTACCAGGTGATGCTTGCACTGAGGTATCTTCCGTATAAACGGCTCCAAAAAGGGATACGTATCTGGAGACGTTGTGGTTGCGCGCAGCCCTTGCACCTCGACTCATCTGTCTAATCTGATTTCAGCGGTCCACCTCCGACGTTTCATGAAACTTGAGCTGCAGTGGATACAGACAGGCACGGCGCCTTGGGACGTGCAGAAGATTCGACTCCTCTCCCACGCCGAGATCATACGGAGGTTCGGTACACTGGGCCCCAGCTTCGTCCATGACAATGTGCCTTGTGAGCATTTACAGCAAGGTAAACTGCCGAAATCATTTTTTGTTAAAGCTTTCTGTGATCGCTGTGCCTGTTCATTGTTTGGCTCAGCTGACACGTCCATCCCCAGGCATTTTTCTGTGTTGCACTAGCAAATCGGCAGTGCTGTACCATCTCATAGATTGGGCAGCAAGGTGCTCATCATGTCGGCACACGCAGACTGCGAGAGGGCGCCGGCCGAGTACCTAGCGGGAGGCGATTACGATGGTGATGAAGTGATCATCATCGCAGATGAGGCCTCCCCTTCAGCACGTTCCTCGGCACAGTAAAGGCACAGCCTCCTTCATCGCCAGGACATTGTCAATGCCTTCGAGCCGACAAAATACGACTACGATATCGACAAGAAGACGGAGAAATTAGTGAGTCTTGTGGCGGAGAACCAGCGGACCAGACACCCACATGAAGATCCCACTGAAGTGTTCGACATGGCCTGCCAGGTACAAGCTGGGGAAAGAACCAAGTTGTTGTTTCTCTATTGCTCCGCATTGCAAGTATCTTGGTGCAAATGCGCTAACTTACGAAGACTCGGTGCCCCATGATCTTTGTTTGCCTCTCTGGGCCAAGCACTTTGCTGATGCAGCCATTGAAAATTGGCACGCCCAGTCAGCTGAACTAGGCTAAGCGCGAGTGCTGATAGACATTGACGTGTACTGTTTAACCCAGTACTAGAATCACTAGAGAAACTCATGGGAAAGCATCAAAGCACGTGGAGGCGGCAGCCTTTATGTCCGAGTCTCTGTCTTTGGCCAGCCACTACGCGTATCTCTGGGCCTGGTTCGCGGACTGGCCTGAATACGGCGTGATTCCCGGCAGAACATGCGAATTCGTTTACTGTAGTTATCCTTCTGAACTTGTGCTGTTGTCGCCGTCGCAGCGAGCGTCGCACACTCGGTAGAGTATGCTGTAATAATGTGTTCACATGTTATCAGCAGCTTGTTTCTATGGAGTTCTCTAAAGGACCAACCTTACCCTAAATCCCAAAAGGGCGTTCAGTTCGAAGCTCAGAGGTATAGAGCCCCTACACGTCAGGGTCATTTGGTCCTTGAGGTAATCTGCCAGATCTAGATGCATGTTGCTGTTGTGGATGTCGTTTCCTTTTATTTGTGCAGTCTGCTGCGCATGAGCCAGTTCGCATGTGTTTATATGACCAGATATGTCCACATATGTCCATGTTTGTGTGTGTGTCCGGCTCTACGTGAACATGTATTCAGACCGCCGGACACGGTCCAGGACGCGTTCAGCATGCATGCTTTCCCATATGTATGGGGGGGCACCCCATTCGTACGTGTGGATTCTGTTCATACTAGAAAAGCTCGTATACATGCATCTTGGCAGGTGGTAACAGGTTGTAGTCGTAGTAGTAGGAGAGTATAGGTGTACACCTACCAGTGTCGTTTGTGTTGGCCGTATGCATCCATGTTATGTAGGCAGTTTGTATGTATGCATGCGTGCATACATACCTATGTACGTGCGTACGCAGGTTGCTTTATATAGATTTATGTGGGTATGTAGGTAGATATGTAGGTGCTTAGGTATGTAGGTATGTATAGAAATATGTATGTATGTATGTATGTATGTATGTATGTATGTATGTATGTTTGTATGTATATATGTAGGTAGGTAGGTAGGTAGGTAGGTAGGTAGGTAGGTAGGTAGGTAGGTAGGTAGGTAGGTAGGTAGGTATGTGTGTATGTATGTGTGTAATTACGTAAGTAAGTAAGTATGTCTGTACGTATGTATGTATGTATGTCTTCGCGGCATATGTATGCAATGCATGTAAACTTAAGCAGGCACGGTGTTTTTCGTCGATGTCGTCGTCGCTGTCGTGGCGTTGTCGTTGTCGTCGTTGTTGTTGTTGTTGCTGTTGCTGCTGGTTTCTTTGTGTTGCGACGATTTGAGTAATTTGTAAATTCGTTTGCATGGGTCGAACACCTAATTGCTGTTGCTCTGCTTTACTTTTGTGTGCTGTCGTCCCTCCCATCGCCGGAACTTAGGAAAGGGGCCCACTTGAAAATCGCTGAAATCAAGTTCCAGTTCGCAAAAGTCGCCGTAGATGGCGGTAAGTGGTTGGAATTCTTCTAAGAGTGCTGCATCGAGAAGCATTACATATGTCTTTGTGAGTGTATTTTTAGGCGTGCTTGCATGTGCATCTGTATGTCTGCATGTATGTAGGTTGTTTATATCTATGCATATGCGGTCAAGACGTACATGTTTGAATATTTATATATGGTCCCCCCCCCAATGATCCAGCCCAGCCTTCTAGCCATCAGTTCGTCCACAGTCTTATGTCTCCAAATGCTTTCTTCCAGAAACCCTCGGTATTTACAGTGATTTCTGCACTTCACACATACTGACCTCTACTTATTGTGCTTGTTGGTGGTATGTGTACACCACCCAAAACCCAAACCAGAATCTGGTTTTCGTCCGCGCTAAGAAACATTTGAGCCTTGCCCAACTAACAATGACACTGGAAACCTCGGTTGTTTCTGCGTAGTTGGTGTTGTTTTCATTTATCAGAAATCCTCTTTTCATCGCATGGAAGCACAAGAAGACTGCTGAGTCCCTTATCGGTGGCGAGAACTCAACGAGCTCTTACAATCTGGCAACATCACAGTTTTGAATATTGATGGTTCGGAAAAGAACTAGTCTCTCACCACCGTACACCAAATACATTCGATCAGAAGTAACGAGCTTCTTACGTCTTACGTTTTGTAACACGAATGGAACAGTACTCGC